ATAAAAGCAACTCCATTAAATTTTCTTCTCTATATAAGAAATATGGCCTAGGTGAAAAGATAGGTCTTGAGCTGTGCTGTGGCTTATCTTTTTCCCTTGAGAAAAAGTCCCTTACGTGTTTACAAACTCTGAAATAAAAGGCAAATTGTTTCTTCCCAGTGGTCCCTACACCATGTTCCTTGTAACACCCAAAGGATCAACTATTTCTTCTTCTTTCCTTCTCACCATTTATAAAATTGTGACTATTCTGTAATTTCCTTCCTTTAAGTGTAACTAGAAGAGCCTCCTTTTAGAATGTTGATAAATAACTTGACGGGATAATAAACAATGAGAAATATTACCAAAAAGTATTTAAAAAAGGAAAATATGACCCTTGCTCTAAGTGTACTAAATACTCTTTCAGTGTTATCACAATTTGAAGAACCACTGAATACATATGTCGTACTATGAAATGAGATGATCAGACAAGTATGAGAAATTGGTGTATTCTATTTATATCTAAAGTAAATTCGTATTCAAGAATTAAATGTTTTTGTGAAAAAAAAAAAAAAGGAAAAAAACAAGGCCAGGTTCATGCTCCTATGTAGGAAATAACAAAAAAACCCAGAAGCATAATACCTACATTTTTCTCTGGAGACTTGCTTCTTCCATAACCTGTTTTCCCCTCAGATTTATTGAACAGATGCATATTATTCCTATACACTTACTTTATTTCACCAGTTAACTTCAATCCTCAGGTCTACTTAACCAAGCATATAATAACCAGCACTTGGAATTATTTTACCACATGCATCATAAAGAATGAATCTCCTGAAAGTTCACACAAAAGTAAAAGCATTTTATAAACAAAGCATTTCTCCTTCAATTTTTTAAATGACCAGTCTCTAAAACCATCCTAATTATTAAAATGTTGAAATCAGAAAGTTACAAGTTAATTTTATTTTTCACCTCTTCACTTGTTTTAATTTTTTTTTTTTTTTTTTTTTTGGTGGCACACAGATGAAGGTTACTCTACTCTTTTTCCAAATTCACTATTTAAAAAAAAAAATCTACAAGTAATTGAAGAATATAAAAAAATGAATTTTTTAAAGACACAATCGAGGTCATTGACCTCACAGGTGTGGCTCCGCTGGTCAGCTGGTTGGGCATTACCCCGCAAAGCTAAAGGTCACTGATTGGGTTCCGGTTAGGGCACACACCTGGGTTGTAGATTCCGTCCCTGTTCGGGACATGAATGGGTGGCAACCAACTGGATGTTCCTTCCACACATCCATGTTTCTCTCTCTTTCCCTCTCCGCTCCCTGTCTAAAAATGAAATAAATATTTTTTTAAAGATACCAGATTACTAAAATATGCGGAAAACAAAATTCAGACTTTTTAAAACAAAATTTTTTAAAAGATTTTATTACTTTTAGATAAGGGAAGGGAAGGAGAAAGGGAGAGAAACAGGAATGTGTAGTTGCCTCCTGCTCGCCCCCCACTGGGGACACAGCCCACAACAGAGGCCTGTGCTCTAACGGGGAATCGAACCAGCAACCCCTGGGTTCACAGGCATGCACTCAATCCACTGAGCACACCACCCAGGGCCAAGAGTTTTTCTTCTCGAAATTGAACCATGCATGTGTTCCTACTGTAGAGTTCCATTCTCGGAGCGATGCGATTTTTAAGAAAACTAAAATAAGCACTTGAAAATATTAGGAAATGCTTAGTGACTCAAAATGCTGCTTTTCCTCTCACGCTAATGCAACCATCTTTAATTTCTAAAACAAAAGAAATGTTAATATACTTCCATTTATATAAGTTTTCAGAGCTGGGCAGTTACAATTTCTGGGTCAGGTTTTTTAAAACTTAAAATTTCACCATATTTTCATATACTAAGCTATTTTCCTTCAATAATATCTTGTTTTAAAAAAATGACAACATAACTTAAAGCTCAAACCTATGCCAGACAGCACACTGCTGCTTATTCAATGGATATTCACTGAAAGGCTGATCGCTAAGTACTATTTGATAAAATACATGTAAAACTAGCTATATACAACTCCTTCCCCCGCCACATACAAAGGAAAAAAACAAATAAGCAAGCAAGAAAACACTTAAGATTTGCCAGGACTAAAATTCTTTCAGCTAAGTGAAATAAATCCAGTCACATTTAAGTAAAATACAAAGTGCTGCTTTCTCCAACTTATGAGAAATTGAAATATAATTCTTCAACCACCAAGAGCCAAGAAATGAAAATAATCCCCACTGAACAGGTACTCGAAAAGGCCTCCAAAAATATTTTCCATAATTTAATCGTATTTCTATATCCCAAAGTTTACGTATCATGGATTTGATGCAAGTACTCACCATTGAATCCATTTAGCAAATAAGACAGACAAAAATTGGGGCTGATGGTTGAAAGAACCACCTATTCCTGAATCTATTTTTTGGCTTCCTCTGAAACTATAAAAATAATTTACACAAGAAAAATGCCTTACCAATCGTTAAGAGTAGCTCTACTCAAAGAAAACATAAAAATCTTAAAGTATCACTTCTTGCACGCCGAAAGGTAAAGAGTAACAAAATTCTTCCGAGGGTAAGAAAAAAAAAAGTTTTTTAAAAAATCGGATGTTTATGGTTTAAAGGAAAGGCAAAATTTAAATATCCAGTTCATACATATACAAGGTTCAAATTAAACAGTGTTGTTGCCCACCAATATGAGGCCCAAACACGTAAAATAAATACCACTAAAGAAAGGGCCTTTGGGATCTCGTTTAATTAAAAAGAAAAAAAAAAAATCTTCTACAAGGTAGAAAAAAAAATTAGAGGGATAGAGATTTGGAATGGGGCAGGGGTGGAGGGCGAATGCCAGAGAAGTCAGGGAGCGGGAGGTAGAAAGCAACTCTGCTGAAATAAAATGAGAAAAAAGGTTCTACCTTGAGGGCAGGGGATGGAACACTTTGGAGGAATGAGGAAACTCCCCCCAACCTAGAGGGCTGGATTGCGAAATGCTAGGTTCATTTCTCCAAACTCATTTTATCGCCATCAGGAAAATTACAGAGTTAATCCAAGGCCGTCCTGCCTTAAGTTTTCCCCACCACCACAAACTAGATGTCAGTAGCAAACGGGTGGGGGTGACGCGAAAGGGCGCAACAGCATCTTGGTTAGGGAGGGAAGAAACTTCGCAAGAAGAGGAAGCAGCAGCTCCTCTCTTGGCCCCTAGTACCGGCCCGCGAAGTTGCGCCACAGACGCCCCTGCTCAGCTGGCGCCCCAACCCCGTCCCTCTCCACACGCAGTCCTGCGCAGCACTCGACCCTTCAAACTGTCCCCTAAGTCCAACTACACCTCCGCTCCCTCTCACCCCCGCACCCATCCCAACTAAGTTCCAAGAAAAGCTTCCGCCCAGAGCGCGGCCTGTTCCGGACAACAGGTGGGCAGTGGAGCCGGCAGGGCTGGGCCTCTCCTAGCCAGGCCCACTCCACTCCTCCCCGGCCAGGGCCCAGGGGTGCCCGGCTCCGGGACAGGGAGGGGGAGCTCACTCCCTTACCTCCGCCATATTTGCCGTACTGACGGGTCACATCTCCGCGGCGGCCGCAGATGGGTCACGGCCAGAACCCGGATGTGAGACTCGGCAACGGGACTCCAGCCGCCGCCGCTGCCGCCTCTCGAATCCCGCCGTCTCTGCTTCGGCGGGAACGCGCAGGAGCCACCCGAGCGCGCCCACCACGCCCCACTCCGCCCCCTCGCGGCGACGCGGCAGCGACCCGGCTGAGCTGGACTGGAGCGAAAAGGCCAGCGTGCGCGGGAGCAGGACTGACGGCCGGCGCGCAGCCCTCCCGGGTGCTGCGCAAAGGGGGCGGAGTCAAGGTGGGTGTGGAGGGAGGTGGGCAACTCCGAGAGGGGCGCCTCCCCAGCCCTAGCGGATCCGGGCGCAGGAGTCCAGCCAGAAGAGAGGGCCCTAGAGACTAGAGAAGTCAAGGAAGGAGGCCAAACGAACTGCGTCTGGAATTCACACCGATGGGAAAAAGATACGTTATATTTTACATGTAGGCCTTTTTCGAAGTACATTTGCTGGAAACCGATGTTGCTGTGATGCAACAACGGCAAATAGCTTTGAAAGCGGTTATCCTTTGACAAATATTCCTTTCAGTTGATTCGCGATGAAAAATGTAAAATTTGGTAGTTCAAAATTTCAGCGGTCTGGGCAGAGATTAAGAAAACGGATTGTGCTAGGTAGTCTGCCATCCTCCTGTCTAATTGCATTTTCCTCACACCTTCTGAGATGCCAGTAGCAACGTAAGTGTGCAGCGGTTGAATTTTGCACTCGAGAAAATTTTAAAATGTGAAATATTGAAAAGTTGCTCTTTGTTGGACGTAACTTCCGACTTAACTGCATGGAGGGGAGAACTTGCTTTTATTTGCAAGGCCTGAAAGGACTGCAATTTGGAAGTTTATTGTAATGTATTGGCCTAGAACTGTCAATGGACCTCAATGCCAACTCTGATGATAGCCAGAGCCAATGACTGCGAAATAACAAACATGTTTCACTTCTATTACTCAGGCAAATACTGGCAAGTGCCAAAGTAATATTAAAACGTGCATGAACATATATTTTACTAAACCAGAAGTTTACTAAACCAGCAGTTTAAAAGTCGTATTTCAAAAAGACAGTTTTTCTTCCCCAAATGTTCAAGGGTTTTTCTTAACGCAATTTTTAAAATGACTACAAAAATCAACCAGTTAAATATGAAAATTACTCATTCTCTCCAAAAAATGTAATGCCAACACTACAATATATTGTATAAGTGTGCACACATAAAATGTTTAAGTTAACATTGAACTTACAATGCAATATGGGGGAGGCTGTTTTCTTATGATATTTGTATTCCCTTAAAATTGTAGACTGTTAAGCAGTTTCCTATTTTTAAAGATTCAACATTAACTTGAAATTCTTATGTCCAATAATATTTGTGCATTTACAGGTATATGAAGTAGCTGCTAAGTGAAAGGACATTACCTGGTAATTTGACAGGAAAAGAGTCCACAGACAGTCTGTAAACCAATTAAACATAAACATCTGATGCACATTTTCTACTGAAAGAAAAGCAAGGGAAAGAAGAGAAAGGAAAACTTTAAGGTTCCCAAATCTACAAACAATTTTTACCATTAACTGTACTGTACAGTATTTTCATTTTATTTTTTAGAATACTTATATAAAAGTGTTTTTCAGGATTCCTTGGGGGGATAAATATTTTAGCCTAGGTATATAGTTTCTAAGTTACCCTGTTGAATTACCTTAGTCCTTAGCACTTGAAATAAAAATGGCTTTTTCACATAATTTTCACTTTGAGATGCTCGATGTAAACAGATAAAGGCAAAGAATAGTGGATGCACATAGACTTGAGGTGGGTAAAGATAAAAATAATAAGGGGCCTCGAGGTAGAAACTCAGGCTTTATAATACCATGGGGATAAAGGAGGATTTTCCATTTAAATACGAAAGCTGGTATATGAAAATTATGTAGCTAGCTACCAAAAGGAAAATTTTTAATTGCTGTCAAAAATGCAAGGTACAGGAATAGTTTGCTTGCCTAAGCCCATTTAATCTTTGATTCTTCAGTTAAACCATCAACAAAAATCCCAACTGTGATAAAAAGCTGGGGACTACAGCCTTCTAAACTACTCAATGAATTCAGAGACTGTCAGGAAAATCAAGGTCTGAGAAATACCGTGATCTGCTGTGTATAATGCACACTTTTTTGCCCAAATTTTTGAGGGAAAAATAAGGGTGTACCTTATACATGGGCATAATATTATATCCCATGTATAATGTGTACAACGTGGGTGCACATTATACATAGCAAAACATGGTACTTGAATGGGTATCCATCTTACTGATGACCTTTAAGTTTATTAATACTGTGTATTAACTTTACTAATTTTAAGTGGCATTATGGTAGAGAGGGGGAAAAAACTTCTCTACATTATTCTCCTTCCCATTTTTATAAAGGTGGGTTCAGTGATTTTTTTCTTTAGGTTCAAAGATTCTAAAAGTAAAGAGAAACAGCTCCAATATTGTAAGTCATCAGTAACACATGACTACTGAATTCAGTACAGTTCTACTCCCATTTTATTCTAGTGACCTACTTATCTTTACAAATTTTAGGAGCCGCCTTAAAGAAAGTCAAGTCTTTCTCAAAACTCTTGCTAACCTCTTCAGTATCAAATATGTAAAAATTAAGGCATAGAATTTTAGTGTTGGATGGGACCTTTAAAGTGTTTAGTCAATTTCTCCATTATTTAGGTAGGAATCTCTCACTATCTTTCCCCACTTAGTACTTATCTTTTCTGCCCATGTTTAAACACCTCCAATGACTCACTGTACCATGAAGAAGCTGCTCTTTAGGAGAGAAAAAAAAAAAAGGCTCTGACCTGGCCAGCGTCGCTCAGTTGGTTGAGCATTGGCCCATGAACTAGAAGGTCACCAGTTCAATTCCCAGTCAGGGCACATGCCTGGGTTGAGGGTTTGGCCCTCACTGGGGCACCAGAGAGGCAACCAATTGATGTTTCTCACATCTATGTTTCTCTCCCTCTCTTTCTCCTTCCCTTTCCCTCTCTCTAAAATAAATAATTTTTTTTTAAATAAAAATTTTAAAAGCTCTAATTTTTGGAACATTCTTTTTATTAAATCAGTATCTACCTCCTTGTTACTTCCATCCATTATCCTGAGTTCTTTGGTGGTCTTCTTTGTATTCAAATGGAAACAGTCAATGTTTACTTGTATACTTGGGTTAACAAAAAATAAATGTTGAAAGCCAATTGATACTAGAAGAGCTTAAAACAAGACATGACAGTTAAAAGCATGAGAAAATTCACTATTACCTATGAGTTGTGAAATTATTCACGGTTTATGGTATTTATTAATGTAACATTCATAATGGTAGTTCTGTTCATTGTGGTGTCATATTTAAGTTAAACTAAAAAAAATGTGGTTAATTCCAATTTTATGTGATTTTGTGGCTAATGTCCCAAAACAAAACAAAACAAAAAAATCACTATACAAAGCCTGAATAAATGCCTCTTTAGCTCCCATTCCTCACCTAAAGGCTTCCTTACTTTCAGGGAAACTAACATCAACTTTTACCACATTAAGCTACTCAAAACTGCTATTATATTGGGAAATTATTTTTAAGCAATTTACTGAATGCTCCATTAAAAAGTTATTAAACAATTTTATAGAAGTTATAACACACACACAAGAACCACTCAAGTTATTATTTTGCTGTTAACGAAAGCATTTCAAAGTCACAATTTTACTTCAACCAATACCTTAAACTAACAAGTAAGCTATGGAAATTTACATATCCTAAGAAATATAACCTTTTATTCAGTACCAACACCTTATTCAAATATAAGTAATATATACCCATATGGTATAAACAAACTGTTATGCAACTCAAAAAGGTACTTCTCAAAAATGCACCAAGAAAATACTTGTAACAATTTAGACTCTGGGGCTTATTTGAATAAAACAGATTAATATAGCACATTTAAAACCCTAAAAACAAATTCTATTGCTAACAACTTTCAGAGTCCCTGAGTTCCTTTTGAGATTTTGTTACCATTTCCTAAAATTTTTATTTAAAAGTCACAGCCTACACATCATGTGCAGGTAAAAATGTATGGATAACTACTAATTTGGTTGAAAAATACCTAAATACCAAACAAGTTCACCTACTTTTAAAAATGACATTTTAGATAAATTGCGAATTACTTTAGTAGGCAGGATGCAGAATGCAGGTTACAAAGCAGTAATGCATTGCATTTGGAAGCCCCTCATCTATATTGACAATCAGCACCATTATCTTTATGTTAGTTTGATTTTTATTGTTAATGCCAGCCCAAACACTCATATAGCTTTTTGATTCTTCAAAGAACAGTTTAAGTTTTCTTTTCACAATTTTCATACAGAGAGTTCTATCCAGTGGCCCTATTTTATCAGATTATCAAAAACTGACATTTTTTTAAAGTTCTTATATTGTTGGCATGTTATTTATATCTCACCCAAACTCTGGAAATTATTGGCCCATCAGCGGTTCTCAAACACTGGAACATATCAGAACAGTATATTTATATTACTTGAGGGAGTTTGAATATTCCCTCCCTTAATCTCCAAGTGTGCCCCTGCCTACCAGCATCACATCCGTCTTGTCTGCATTGAACCTCAACCAGTTGGTTCTTAACCACGTCCGAAACTCAGCCAGGCACTGGGAAAATCGAGCCACCACACCATCTGGATCAAAGGAAAGAGAGCCTCAGTAGTAACTAGACCAGAGAAGATGATACCACAATCTCACCATTTACCCTGTCTCTATTTTTTTTTTTTTTTTAATGACCAGGAATTAGGACAAGGACCTCATGACAATTTTTGAAAACATTAACTAATCTTGTGTCATGCAATTTGTAACCAATGGTCAGGGAATAAAAGTGACCCAATAAATAGGACATCTCATTCTACCCATAAATTAAGAAAGGTTCAGTCAACTCCAAGTCATCTCAGCTAAGCAGCCTCAGAAGACTGGCTAGCTTTGTAACTGCAAACATTTTTCAGCAAAATTAAGAATTTAGCGTTGGAGAGAGCTTGAGGGATAACTGGGGCCCAGAGAGGGGTAGTGACTCGCTCAAGGTCACACAGCTAGTGAGGACCAGAGGTGAGCTATGGGCCAGATATCTTTCCACTAAAAGCTGAAGAACAAGGCCATTCAAAGGCGGGGGAGGCATCTGTCCCCAGGAATCTTTCCACCGACTGGGAGGACCGCCGCCCCTCACAATAATGCCCTCTCTGAGTCTCTCTTCCCTCCCACACTCCCTCCAAACAGATGGTTTGCCCGGGACCCTGCTCACCACAAGGGCTGCAGTGCGAGCAGTAGCCTCTCCCGGGCTGGGACAGAACCCGCAGAAACAGGGGAAAAGAGGCGGAGCCACAGGGGGCGAGGTCAGCTTAGCCCCACCCCGACCAGGATCCGAGGCCGACAGGAGAAAGGGGCGGAGGCGAACAGACAGGGCTAGGCGAACTCACTCCGCAGAGGATTCCCAGCACGCCGCAGCCACCTCCAAAGCAAAAGACTGGGCTGGGAGGGGGGTGGGCCACGAAGGGGAGCTGCGCATGCGCCCTGGGTCACCAGCGCAACTCTGGGACGAAAGGCCAGCTGGGCTGGTTCTTTTGCAGCCCCTCCCCGGAAGTTAAGGGTCTTCCGGGCGGTACTCTGTGGTGGGGGAGGGGAAGGAGAGAAAGGAGACCGAGGACAACTCAGGAGTCCCTCATCCCAAAAAAGGATTAGGAGAGGAGAGGTGGTTTATTGAGGCTGCACTTACAGCCGCTGCTGCCGCTGCCGCCGCCACCTTCACTGCTGCCGCCACCGCCTGAAGAAGCCCCATCCATCCGCCTGCAGCCGGGGAGACTCAGAGCCTGGGTGGGGCTTTGGGCCAGGGCCGCCAGCCTCCTTCTTCTAGTCGTCTCCCCGAGCTTCCTCTTGCTCCACCAACCCTCTGCCCTCCCCTCCGCCTCCGCCCTCCTCCTCGGCCTCCAGCCGCCAGCCAACCGCGCGGCCGCTTGTTGAGCCTGGGCTCCACCGTCTCCATGACGCCCGGCAAACATTCCGGTGCTTCAGTCCTGGCCGCTAACACCTCGGGTTGGGGTACAGGGACTCCAGAAGCAGGCAGGGGAGGGGGTGATCGACCACCTCCCAGCCAGTTGCCACCATGCCCATTTCTCCGGTAGACAGTCGCAAGCAGCCGAACCTCGGATTGTAAGTTCCGGCGCTAAAACCTTAGTCTATCCCTGTGGGTGGTGGAGGGAACCGTTGTAGAGCCTATCGCTTGCTGCATCTGGATTCAATAAGCAGCCCTCGAAGTTTCCAGGCCCAGCGGCAGTGTCTCTTTCCTTGGCCTTAATACAGCCTTTTTCAGATTCCCTGCAGCTGTGCTTGCTCTATAAGAAAAGACCGAGTTTGTTGAGAACCTTCCTCATAGCACCTCTCCATGTTTTCGGTCTGCAGTCCCAAGGTAGTTGTCTGCATGCAGTGCCTATATGTTCACTCCTCTCAACTTCTGTGAGCCACCAAACTGAAAATTACTTTGCTCTGAAATCGCGGTTTTCTTCCGCCCCCTCCTCATACCATCCTCTCTTAAAACGCATTCCTGCTTACTCTACTCTTTTGCAACAGGTGAAGAAGCTGGAGAAAAGCACACAGCTCTGAGCTCTTGTCTCGCTTATGCCTTCAAAGTGTATCCTTGGTGCTGCCCAGCAAAGCTGCGGAAGTTCCCTAAACACTCTCCCACACTTGCAGACTTTTTTTCCTTTTCTTGTCTCCAACTTTGAACATCTCTCCAATCTCCTCCAGCAAGTAGGACTTGTTGGAAGTTTTTGGGAGAGAATCTTTTGTTCTCTTAAATGATATTCAGATTTTTACTCATTCTACCACTCTAGCAAAACAACTTTCGTGAAGGTCAACAACAGCAATAGCTGCCCAGCCACGTTCAGTGGCCGTGTCTGTTTCACTCTTAACCCACCCATCAGCAGCTTTGATCTAGTTTATCACTTCTTGAGTTTTCAGTTACTTCCTTTGGTTTCTGGGACACCACTCTTCCCTAGTTCTCCCTTTGATTTATGGATCCTTTTCAAAGTACTTTGCTGGGACTTCCTCTTTTCTCCTGTGTCTAAACATTGGAATGTTGCTGGGGTAGTCTTTAAACCCCTACTATTCACTTTTGTCCCTTTAAAAATCACCTATACACCGATGATTCACAAGTTTATGTGTCTAGCCAACACCTTCCAAGAAACAGACTTTAAAAAAAAAATCAAACATCAAAAGTTAAAAGTCAGTATCTCAGAATTCATATCCAAAACAACTTAATCTCTAACCTACTCTGCAGTAAAATGGCAATTTTTACTCTTTCAGTTACTCAGTTAAAAACCTTGGAGTTACCCTTGACTTCTTTAATACCCCACTTCATCAGCCAATTCTACCACTTCCACCTGGAAAATAAGTCCAGGCTACTGCTCTGATGTAAATCACTGTAACACTGCCAGCAACCACATATATGGTCTTCTTGCCAAGACCCTCAACACAGTAATCACTGTGGCTCTTCTCAAAACCTTCCTCTGCCTTCTATTTCATTAGAAGTTTCATGATTTTCATATAGAGAGTTCAAAGCTAACTACTTACATTGCCTTACAGTATCTTACCTTGGACTCATCCTCTTGACTGCACTCCATATTGTTCCACAATACTATCAGGCACATTATTTTCCCACTTACTTCAAGGTGTGTACATTTGCTGTCCCTTGGAATACTGAACACCCAGATAACCTCATGACTCATATCCTTGACATGCCTCCTTATCAGTCCTCTAACCACCCTACATACATATAATACTTCCTCTTTCTCAACACTGCTTTATTTTTCTCCATAAAACTTAGTCCTACTTGGGATACTTTGTTAATCTGTCTTCACCCTAGCCATGGAACTCCATAGGAGCAGAGGTTTGTTTTTTTTTTTATTGTGTTCATTGTTATTGCCTAAAATGAAGAAGGTACTCAATAAATTTTTGCTGACTGAACAAGTGAATGAATGAGTTTGTACTTAAGTGACTGGTTACTCTTCATCTTGTCTGATTTTTGCCTTTACAGGGAGGTATGGAAATCTCAAGGTAAAATTAAGTTGAATTCATGTAAAGTTTTTAAAAAGTCATACAACTGGCATAGTAGCTGGCAGAGTGCTAGAAAAATTCCCATGGGAATTTCTGAACTAATGACAAATTCATAGGAGATTACTATTAAGGAAAGGATTGGGTGGGAGAGGGGAAGGAATATAACCTTAACTTTTTGAGTTAACCATGTTTTCTAATTAAAACAATTTCACAGACACTAAAGTTTACAATGGTTTGACCTAATAGTATGTTATTTCTCATCTCCCTTATTTTAGGACTTGATCTTGGAAAGGATCTCATGAAACATGTATTTATCAGTTTTCCACTTTTCACTCCCATTTTCCTTATTTTGGGTGTTTCCCATTGGCTTAACAATATGGGGCAATCTCCCATGTAGCAAAAACTGCCATTATTGATTGTTCAATGCTTTTCTCCCATTTCTCTGTTCATCATCTTTATTCCACTAACTTACATGTTCATTCATTTCCTTTTGATTTTTAGAATTTTCATTTGTTGAGCATGTTATCCACTTTTTCCATTAGAGTCATTAGCCTATTAATCATAATTATTTTAAATTCCCACTCTTAACAATTCCAAAATCTCTGCCATATCTTAGTCTGGGTCTAATGCTTGCTTTGTTTCTTCAGACTGATTTTTGCCCTTTCGTATGACTTGTAATTTATTGTTGAAAGCTGAACCTGTTGTATCAGGTAATATGAACTGAGAGAAGTAAGCCTTTACTGTGAGGTTTTATGTTTATCTGGCTAGGAATTATGTTGTTTATTTGCTGTAGCTGTAGGTTTCTAGGGCTTTAATTTTTTCTATTGTTTTTATCTCCTCTGTATTTCAGGTTTCCCTAGAGGCTCCTTCTTAAATAGAATGAGCCTTACAATTCTTCCCATTGCAACCTGCTGTTATTATACAGGAGCCCTGTTGATTTGGTGGTAAGATATGCAGGGAGAGAAAGTGTTCCATATTCTTATGATTAGGTCTTAGTCTTTCAGTGGGCCTTTTTCCCTAGGCTGTGACCTTCATAAGTGATTTTCAGATTTTGTTTTTTTTCTAAGGTGTAACAAAAAGGTTAGAGGGACTTAGACTTGGGTATTCTCCCCCCTCCTCTCCTCCCTACCCCACATTGGTAAGGCTCTGGTAAATTAGTTTTCCTTGAGGTCAGGCCCTTGTTTAGTGAAACTGAACATCTGGGTATATTTCAAAATGGTTACTTCCTGTACCCCTGCTGGAACTATCAGTTTTTTTTTCCCCTAACCCTCTTAATGAGCCTGGAGAAGCTCACAGAGGTATAAACCACGAAAGTGTGGGGGCTTTGCTAAGGCTGGCCCCCAGAAGTTTATAATCTGAAAATTAGTCTATATTCAGTCTTTAGCAATTAGTCAATTACCCTTTTAAGTTTTGCTACCAGTTGCTGGCTCCAGTGGCAGTTTCTGTTTCCAGTAAGTTGTGATTCCCTGTTTCCTCCTGCCTCTCACACTTTCAGGTTTGCTGCAACCTCAGTTCTGTGTTGGATCTAAGAAGACCTGTTCAGTTTGCTCAGCCTTTTCTTGTTGTGAAGATAGGACTGAGGATTTTCATGGTCTTTGCATCTTAGACCAAACACCAGAAGTATATCTGTTCACTTTTTAACTCTTTCAGTCTTGTCTCCATCTCTGTAGGGAAACTACTCAAAGGTCAATAATGAATTACCTAAAGGTTTCAAAAGCCACCAAATTAATGGGCTTTCTTCTCCACCTCTCCGCAGCATTTGAAAATTTCCCTCTTTAACCCTAAGTTTACTGGCTTAATTATTACTCGTCTAAATGTCTCTTTCTCTTTATCTCTATTTTCTCTCCTTTGCCCTTTTAGCTTCACTTATATCTTTAGGTTTTTATTTTGAGACTCAGTTCATTTATTATCTCAATGCAAAGATTCTCAAATCAGAATCTCCAGCTCTAACTTTTTCTTAAAATTCACTCTACTCCTTTATTTTCAGCTGCTACCAGACAGCTCTACCATGATGTCCTGATGTCTAAATTGAGCATGTCTATAATTTAACTCATTGTGTTTTAGAAGTAAAAGCTAATCTAATCTGAAGGCTACTTTTTCTGAAGCATAGTTTTGATCACCCTAACTCTATGAGGTAGATACCATTATTAACTTTAACTTACATATAAGAAAAGAAATAGATTAAGAAACTTGCTCAAGAACAAATAGTCTGAGTTAATTGAGTGTTTGAACATTTAAATTGACCTCTTTGAGCTTAATTTTTCTCACTTGTAAAATGTGGCTATTGAATATCTCACAGGTTATTATAAGATTGAATTAGAGAAATATAGGTGGAAGTTATTTGAAATTTAAATTTTAAGTGACAATGTTATTATCAGTCACCAAGTCCTGTCAATTCTCTACTGTTTTAGGGGTTTCTGAGATGTTTTAATGAGGCATGATAAGACACAGGACAAGGAAATGACTGTCATAAAGGAAGAATTTATTTTTTTCTAAAGCTTAAATCCCTAGGAACAGAAAGCATGGCATGCCACACCGCATAGGGGACCACACGAGAAAGTACCAGGGCCAGTTAGGAGACTGAACAAGCCAGGGAAAAACACAGGCAAGAACCTTTATTGTGGTTTCTATAGGAAGGAACAGGCAAAGCAGAATAAGCAGGTTTAAGATTGTTTTGTTTGAATAATTCCAAAAGGCTCTGGACATAGGGACTATCCTTAAAGTCTGGTTCCTGTGTCTGGGGTGATGAGAGCAGTGGCCCAAGAGTGATATCTCTGAGTGCTTGATAAAGGAGGTGGTTGAGGGTCTGGGCTCTGGATGGTTGGTTTGAATA